TAACTTAAATATTTTTAAATTTTATTTTACTTTATTGTACAATGCTTTTTTATAATTAAGATGCGTAGGTACAGAACGCGACCCCAATGTCCATTGTTGGGATTTAAAAAACACTTACATCGTTAGCAGTTGTAAATCGGATACGAAAAACAACAATGTTGTTAATTGGTCCGGGTTTTTAATTAAAACCTATATTGTTTTCTCAGTGTACATGTGCATACACGAAGACCTGACGTTTTTGTTCACTCCCAACCTAGGAAACGTCTTGTTTCCGGTTGAGTACACTATAAACGTGCGTGTCCGCGAAAAAAAAGCTAATGACATTTTTTGGCCACGTTACTACTGCATGTATAATACACGTGTATGATGAATGTTACTGTTATGATACAATAATATAAATACATATTGTATTTTATATTATGTATTGCGTTCAACGACATTTCGACAAATGATTCCCAACAGGACAAGATGTATACACAATATACCTAACCCTAACATTCCAGGATAATGTAAAGTCACACATACATATATACTATTTAAAAAGGGCAAACGTTGGACTTCCCGTATAATGTAATATGCCGCGCATTATACGATATTGTATTTATGCCACTACGACATGTATATTTCGCGCACGTCGCATTTTTTTTTAGCTTTTCCTGTTAATCAAGATGTACGTTTTCACGTTTCTATATTAGAAAAAAAAAAATCCTTATGGCCACCGTCTAATGGCATCCGCCATTCAATTTGTGCTTGTGTGTGTATGGCGATGTCCCGCCTATTCTCTTTTGATCGACCACATTAATCGTGTAACTGTAATGTTTTATACGATTTGAAGCTAGTTTTTTTTTTACGTTATTTATATTTCTAGTTAACATTTAGTTTTTTTTTTCAAATTAGGGGGGACACACCTGGGAAATTCGTTATCTATTAAATAAAATATATTTTTATTTATTATCGCTAAGTCTGGGTCTAATTGTACGATACGTCATCGGTTTTCACCGTTAATTATATTTTACTAGCAAAAAATGTTACTTGAAACTAATATAAATTGCCCAAAAATACATTCTGGTAGGTATTTTCTGTGGGGCTGTGTTAACCAGTTTTAAATGTGTTCACTTATTATTAACTTGTGGCGCGTAACAAACATACAATTCTAAAAATGTATTTATCAATAAAATGTATTTTCTCTGTTAATTATAAATATTTTTTTAGTAAATAATTAAACACTTGCGGGTTATTTTCAAAGTACATTTGGTGTTACTTTTTTTTTGTTACCTTTACACCATTGTGTTGTTAATGAACACTAATTGAATGCAAATAATTATTCGAAAAAAAAAAATGTTATCCAAACCACCCGGCGGCAATTTAAAAAAGAGTGAAGCGCTTAATAATATTATTATGCAAATTATAATATACAGATAAATAGATATGATATCCGCGAAACTTACCCGTCCGTATTTTAATGATGTCTTGTTACGGCCCATGCGGTTTCCGCCTAGGTAGGTAGTACACGTGTACGCATTTTTAGGATGTACAATATTTTATACTATTATTGAAAGTAGAAAATATCGATCGTTTTGTCCGAATCTAGATCACATCGAACCGGCGTTTGCGGCGAACGTTATTTTTTTCTACACGAAGTATGAATATTATTAATTTTATCAATTCAAAATTGATGACGTTTTTGTATTTAAACGATGAACCGTTTGCCAATTTTAAAAATACACCTACTTGTTTATTATTAAACATATTAAATAAATATTCCTTTGAGAATAGTATTTTTAAGCTATTGGAATTGAAAAAAATCATGATTTCCATTACGATTCTATGCTATGTTAATTTGTTAAGTGAAATATTTATTTTTAATAATAACTTATATGTTAGGTTAGGAGTACAGAAGGACTAAAGCTTGTGAACAATTAATTACTTTTTTTTCTCATTTGCTGGGTTAGAGCATGAATGAACCACCTTATACTACTATAGTACACACTCTGTATTACAACACTCAGTAACTAATCTTCTTATTTTTCAGATTATTATCAACCCTCGTATAGGCCTTTGTTATGACTTTTTTTTGTGTACAGGTTTAATGTATAGTTGTCAGCTCTAGATTAACTACCATTACAGTTTGAACGGTAAAAGTACATTAAAATTGGTCTTAAATTGAGTCTCTATAATAATGTAATTATGGGTTAGCACAGAATTTTTTTATTAGTTGATATTTAGCGGTAAATTCAAATATTACACATGTGTTGTATTAAATTAAATATGGAGTGATTATATTATTAAAACATACGCAGTTTTTAATTAATTATTTATAAATGAAACTTATAATAATTCATAGTACTATATTTTTATTGTTTTCTATGCAGATATTATTTAAAAATTGTTTTATTAATTATATTAAAGGTAATTTAAGTATATCTGCACATGTACTACAATAGATAATACTGTTGGTAAAGTTTATCTTTCAAATGACGACTATTTTACATTTTATGAAAGAGATACGTGTTTTAAAATAATTAATTTCCCAAGTATGAATTAATGTTAAATCCGTGTTAGTTTTTAAGTTTGTCCTATATTTCTAAGTGGAAATTGTTTACTCTAGTATAAGTGTATAATTATATATGTGTTATGAATTTTATTAGTACGTGCTGTGCTAAAAAATATACACGCATTTATGTTATAGTAAATGTTATATTTATAAATCTTGAACAATAGCTTCAAAATAGAAATTCGAGTCTCTAACAATCCATGACATAAATCATGGTTTTAACTTTTATTTACTTTTTTCTTTTGTACATTACGGTCCATTGTGTTATCGGTAGATATTTGCGTTCTCCGACAAATACACATTCAATTAACTTACCGTTTTGTCCCTTATCCTAATGTTGTGTGTTTGACGCGGCTGTGAAAAGATCAAAATCTTCCTCTAGTTTTTCTTTCTTACATTTTTCTCTTATTATTGGTGTCGGAGTTTCGATTGCGATTTATATTTTATTTAATTGTCAATTCTGGCGAATAACGCATTATTTTTCGTCATTCAGTTCCCGTTGTTATTTTTTTTTTAACACGAGTCTTAGAGAATAAACTGATAAGCGGTGCTGTACGCAAAACGGGCAACCGATTTTTATGCGGGTTCCCGCTGGCAACGGAGGTACCCTCGTCATAGTCCGTGGACGGGCGGACGGTGAACTACGGCGAGGGTGCCACCGTTGCCAGCGGGAGAATCCAGCGTAAAATCGGTTGCCGTTTTTGTGTATGTCACCGCGCTTACCTGTATACGGTATTCTAAAATCAATGACCGCGTCAACACCGTTCGGTGTGTGGCCCCACGTGGAACACTTAAGTTATGACGTCACCTAATTTCGGCAACACGATCCTCGGCTCGTGTGAAACACGGCACCCGGCTCTTCAAGGTTTATCTATATCATATTATAAACCTTGTCGGTGGCTACCGTTATCCACCTATTTGTTAATATTATATTGAACACTCCTACCGGTCGCGGTGCCACGGCGTGTGTGTTGCTATATTATTATGTAGAACGGTTTTCGTTTTCGGTATCTTCGGTTTCTTTTGTTTTTACGGCGATGTAATAAAAATCTAGTAATAAAGCTAAAAAAAAATAATAAATAGGTAAATTCGATAGTCTCGCAAATTTTGTCTTTTGTGGACGTCGACGATCGCAGCGTGACAACATTAAAAATAACGATTAAATTTAAACGACCGGTTTGAAAAAATAATAATTTTAATATCTTTCGTCGACCCACATTTCGAGCGGATCACTTTGAAAATGGATAAAAAATCACAACACTTTCGGCCGCAACTCTGGCCTTGTTGATGATCTACGGTCGTCGTCAACGTCCTACGTCGTTGTGTCTTCTCCGGTGGCGTCCGATCGGCGATCAGTCAGCGCGCGCGCTATCGTCCCAAGGTCGCACGTGGTGGCGTGGCGGTTGCTTCGCGCGGTCACCAAACCCGAAGTGCCGGCGGAAGGCTTTCTACCGCCCGCGCGCTCTTCAGCGGCCGCGGTTATACGCGAAATCCGCGCGCGCTACTGCCATTGCCGCACACGCCAAACGGAGTTCAACGTTTGCACGCGATAAGCACATGCCGTTTTTTAAAATAACGGTTAGTTTAGATGTTATCTTTCTTAAGTTAGTTTATATGCGATTTTTCATAAAATATGAATTTAGAGCCCGAAATCCACTGTGTAGTGTATATGCAGTTATGAGAATACGTTAATGATTGCCACCCCATAGATAAAAAGGTCTTCACGTGCTGGTTTTTTTGTAACTTAGTTAAACCGGAAATCTTTGAATTTCATACTGGTGGTCTTCGGTCGGCAAAAGGCTGATTTAGTGTAAATTAAATTTTAAATTTTCACGATAATTGTGTAACTAATAAATGATGATGTATACATTTTAGTAACCACGGTTGTTTAGTTCGAACTATCGTGTATACTGACTTTTAATTAAAGAGAATCGGTCTGTTGCGAGAAAACTAGCAAAAAAAAAAACAATAGGCACTGGCATTGTAATTTTCCATCGAATAATAACAAGTTCTGAGAGTCCTGGTAGCCCCGTCGTAAACTGTATAGTTCGCTTACGATTTTCGTTATTAAAAATTAAAACCTTACTTGTGGTGAGGGGGGGGGGGAGTAAAGTCGGAGACACAGCCTGAAGCACTTACCAAATTGTGTGGGCCAAAAAATATAATCAACTCGGAGAGACTTTCCAAGTTGTTCGTATCCGCGTGGACAATTTTTAAATCAAAAATATCGTAACTACTTTTGAATTTTAAACGCAAACGCTTAATCATACTGTATAACGGTTAGGTTAGGTTAGGTAACGATATTTTTAAAAAAACTTAAACGGTCCAACTCGTCTTGTAGACGGTGGGCGAGGATCAACGACACCCAAACACCCTTATTGTTGTTAGTGATATTTTTCGCATGTAATCTAACGATTTTTTTATTATTATTTTTTTTTTTTTACAGTAACAACGAAGGGAGGAGACGACTATAAGAACGCCGGCGGCCTCTTCGAGTAGTAGGTCGGTCATACACGTGCCGTGACTGGTTTGAGAGCAGAAAATTTGCAATGTCAATGGTGTGTATACACACGCGCACGTTCACTATGTTTGGCAACACGTGTACGCATACAGAGCGAATTTTTGCCCACTTCGTATGGTATGTATATCCGCCTAATAAATAATAACAAGAGAGAAAAATTGTAATCATTTTTTTGTGGTTGCAAAAACCAAGTACGGACTGAGTTTGTCTAAGACTTGGCGACTTTGTATTTTGTGTTATTAGAATATACTGTCCAGTTTTTTTTGTGTACGGGGTTGGTGCATTGCAAGACGTGTAAAATGAGATGTACATCATAATATCATAACGGTTCTGTCAATGTCGGCAATACAATGGGAGGCACGGGTCATGTTATGTAACGATTTTCGTATTATAATATTATACAGCCTAATCTATCTGTCGCGTGTATTGTACAGGTTATACAGGAGTGTTGAATAAACGAGGAAGAGCAGCCCGTTTGATTCACGAGATCATAAATATTATAATATTAAACGCACAACGGGTTTTCAACGGATTTCCTTTGGTAAATTTAATAGAATATTAAAAAAAATAATAGAAAGTGGATGCGCTTGAATGCGTTAACCGAAGAAATAGATTTTTCTTGGGAAAATATAACATGTTCAATAAATAGGTAAATAAATATTTTCTTAATTAGGTCGTGTTTACTATAAAAACAAACTGTTGATACGTTCTTGGCATGAATATATCAATAGGAATATTTATTTCAAATCCGTATCCTACCTACATTCCTGTATCAATTTTATTTTATTTTTTTAAATGTTCTAAAATAATTTTACAGTCAATTTGTTTGTCGCTGGCCGATTTTTTTTTTTAATATAATTATTTTACAGTTGAACAAATCAATCGTTTTGAATTTAAGGATATATTTTAGGATTCCGTCGGTGGTTCTTATTTTCTCTTCTTGAATTTTCATTTGATAAATTTCAAGCAACCAACATATCATTATAATATACTTTCAGGATAATTTTTCGTTGTAAATACCTAATATCGAATACCGTGTAGACTGTGTAGTGGATTAAAAATACAGATCCTAACACAGTGATGGTGCACTACGGGCAATCTATTTCGGTGACCGTATAATGCACGTTTCGTTCCGCTTTCATTAAATAATACCCCAACGGCAATAACGTTCAGCCTGCCGTTCACCTGTTTGAATTTATAACATCAAACAAAAATATAAAACCCCATTAGCTACATCAATAAATTTGTGTACATGATCATACACAGACAACTATTATACATATATGTATGACTAGTGTACACGATACTGGTATATGTCCGCTATGTACTCCATTATATTATGTTAACTGTTCGAGCAAGTCGTTGATTTTTCTTGTTTATATTATAGCCACTTGTTATTCAATTTTGATTTTTGGTTTTCAATCCGTATACCGTGGTGTCACCGAGGCAGACAAAACACAAGGTAATCTAAACGCGGCGGCCATCTTCTAAGGCTACAGATATAATAACGCATATAATACTAAATAGGTCTTTACAAAAGGGTCGTCACTTTTGTTTACAATATATCAGCTGTCTCATCGACAGAATTGGGCAATGGATATTTTTTTAATGAAACATTTATTGATTTTTTCAATAAACCCCTTAAAAAATGTATACGACAAGTTTTGTTGTCGGATTTGTTCGAATAATATGTTCATTGTAATTCGTTCTGATAAGAAATTAACTCAATTTTTTAAATCAATACTTTATTCAGTATTTTTTTTTCGTTATTTAATTAAATTTTCTTGTCGTGGAGACTTTTCTCAGTAAATCGCGTTCTTCGTACAACAGCTGAAACGCATAAAAGGCAAGAACTTACTCTTTGGAAACTACTACGGAATTTTGTCTCTATTGAAAAATATTTCTGAACGCTTCATCCACGCTCGACCCGTTGAAATACTGAATAATACATAACTTATAATAATAGTGTCACACAGCTAAAAAAAAATTCCTTAAATGCTTACAGCAGTACTCAGATATGGCGACAGACGAATCTCGAAAAAATTGTGGAACTTAACATAAATTATTATTATGTTTGCTGGTTTTGTGAAAACAGTTGTAGTGGATGAATACCTAATGAAATTATTTTAGAAATCTGTTCGGTAAGCTTTATGACTATGCGTTTAGGTCTACATTAATTGCATGACCTTTAGCATGTCCGTTGCCCATAAATACCCCAGTATATTATTAACAATACAATTTTTATAATTATACAATTTCACAATGTCTCGTTTCTCTTCCTTTATCAGACTAAATAAAACCACTGAAAGGTGCGCGACCATTTTTTTTCTCTCATATTATTTGCCCTTATAGAACATCCAGTTTCAGCTGTTGGCAAAATGTGTTTAGATCACTTGGGCACAATATTATGCCATTGTTGTTGTATTGTGACAGAAAAGAGCGTTGTATTTTAGTCATTCTCAGTCTGAGTGACAATTAAATAACATCTTAACGAGTCAAAATACAATACAAACCAAAGGATAAATACAATCATTACCCAGGGGCCATATATTGAGTTCAGTGCCTATGCAACACAACGTACACCGCGCATTATAAATTATCATTTATTACCCATATTTATCATGTTTGACCATACTGACAAGACAGTTGACTTGAATATATTATTCCAAAGTACCTCTGTTGTTCTAGGAAAATGAAATCTTTTGTTACTTCCGGTCGCCCAGAGAAATCCGCCATGACTTCCCCACGGGTAGGTGTAAGAGCCAACGCAATCGATCCACCTGTAATAGATTTGCTTGCACGCGCGCCGTGTTATGAATGGCAGCTGCCAAAGTGTAAACCATAATATTATATTGTAATAAAATATATTATATATAAAAATATGTTAATGAATACACTAGGGTGGTTCTAATTTATCAACTTTGAAATTTTCAATGGGCTACCCCGTCATTTTGTTCATAGAATTTGGTTCTGATAACTCAAGGGGTTGAGTTATCAGAACTAAATTCTACCTAAATTTTTTTTTATAGTAATGAACAAAATGGCTGGGTAGCCCATTAAAAAACTTAAAAAAAAAGTTCTTCATCTATGACTAAGGACCACCCTAGTATACACACACATCTACGTATAAAGATCTGACGGTACTTGTGGAACAGCTTTCGTTTTTAACCTTTCTATTTTTAGTTCAACAAAGATGTCCTGATATAGCTGTCGGCGGCAATTTTATTTTTTCGGTCATAAATCAAATCTAAGGGTCAAATAACTGACTCTTGTCATGGACAAATCGTTATCTCCTTAGGTCGACGTTCTATCGACTGATAATTGGCTTATTAACGCAGAAATGAATATTATAAACTTGTTGAATAATTAACAATAATAATAATAATAATCCAAAGGTTACACCAGTTTCAGTAACATTTGTTATACAAAAAGTGGTGGTTTTTACAGTGGTTTTTTTCTTTCTAAATTGATGTAGCTAATTATTTTTTAAATAATAATATACTCTGTATTGATATTAACATACCTACGTTAATACAGGCTATATTTTGTCTTACTGTTTATACCATGAGCGGAAAGTTTTTTAAAAGCGTAGAAAATAATATTATTATAATTAATATGAACATAAAAAAGTGTGTATGAAACATGTAATTACAATTTTATTAATTCGTTCTAATTAATTGAATGATATATACACACGTTTTTATTATGTAAACTATTAAATGGAAAATCGCAATCACTATATAATAGCGTTTACACGTTCCGAACTGGGACAATAATGACTACACTTGTGTGTTCATTTACATATGTAGACAAGTTTTTCAGTTATAATCTTGTTTCGACGAAGCATCAGTTATAAAAAAAAAAAAAAACATTATTATGACTATTAAGGCTATATGCATGTATAGGCTATATTCATGTATAGGTAAAAATAACACAATTAGTGTACATGCACGTTTGTCAATTAGCCGAGGTGCGTTATATAATTAATCTGGTGAGATTTTAATGATTTTTAGAATGATAAATTTTTTTTTCATTTTCGACTAGTCATTGTGTTCTCATTAGCAATCAATAACTTCGACTCTTAACAGACACCGTGGCCGTTGCTTATCTATCACTATCACTTGTTTGTTTTACACCGTTAAGGAGAACCGCTTATTGCTAAGGCTTCAAGTACAAATTAGAGACACGAGGAAGCTAAAGCCCTTTAGTTCACCCCCGGACTCACTCACCCCGGGCGTGTACCTATTAAAAAATATGTCCTAACACAACGTCATGGGCGGAGCAGGGGGCGTGCAGGGTATACACTGTTATGCCCGCCCAAACGTCAAAATTCTAACATTTTATTTTTATAAATTGAAAACGGTCAAAATATTTTCTTAGCAACTTGGATTCGTGAAAAATAAACACCCTTGTATACAAGTTGGGTTTCAAAATCTTAGTTATATACAATTCCGTGCATTTGTCGAAGGCTATGTTTAAAAAGACGTCAGCTTTTTGATATTAGTTTAACAAGCGGGCATTTGATTGATCATCTCGAGCTACACAAAAAACGACGATTCTCCTTTTATCATTTTACACTCAATTTCAATCAACGTAAGTATACAAAAAAATTTGCTTTTGTCGTATGGATTTTCACCGTTATCAAATTATTTATCTGAAACCATTATGTTTAAAAATCAATAGTAATTGGTTAAATTAAATTTAACCAATTACGATACATTTTTTATTTTAGTTGTATTATTGAAAATATAGCACGAAGAATTTGAATAAGATATGTAAAAAAAGAAAAACTATTTCTGTTTTCTTAAAATAACGGCGGAATCTGGATCGCCGGAAACTAGCTTTCGGATCGAAGGACGTTGGCCGCAAGCCCGCGGGGTGGGGAGGCGAATAATAATAGAAGTCATAATAATAAAATTAATATGGCACACGCGATAACGTCGTTAATAATGTCCGCGCATATCGGTTGCACGGCGAGTGCATTGGTCGGCGGCGGCGGCGGCGGCGCATTGGGGGAACCGGTGAGTTGCGGTGGTTAGGGGTGACGGGAAGTGGGAACGGCGATGGGTGGCGGGCAGGCGCAGTGGCGGTGCAACGGCGAAAAAAAAT